AGCGCATCCTCTATCTCCACCTACGTGCTCACTAACCAGTCTACTTTATCCTCATTTCTAGCCTTTTCTAGGTCTCTCACATTTGTGTTTAAAGATATAACCATTTGTTTACTATTAACTTGTTTTAAGAAAAGACCCTCCTAAAGAAACCACCCCTAGCATCCTTTGAGCAGGCTTTGAATGCAACAGTTAACTCTACCCTTTTCTGGAGGAATCCAGAAGATGATGCAAAGGATAATGAAGAAGATGAGAAGCCCAAAATTCATTAAAATTGAACATAGCTCGCTCCACAATATCTTTTGGATTCCACTATATACAATTAAAGTAAGGTCATTCCATACTTTCAAAATTTGCACCAGACTTATAAGATGCTCAAAGTTTCCAGCAGCCTTCCAAGAATCAGACAAATTACTTATTGTGAGTGTTTGTATTTTATTTAGTTTATTTGCCTTATTAAAAATAAATAAATAATAATAATCATCAAATTCAACTGAGTCTTGAAATTTAGGCAATTTTTGAATTAACAAACACACACATACACACACACACATATATATATATATATATATACCAACACTGACATATATATATACACAAGCACAACACCAAACTACAAAATCTACAAGAATCAGAAGTTCTAAACCCACATATTTTAGTTTCGCAGAAGCAATAGCAATAGTTATAGTTTGTGCTATATTTGACACAAGATTTGACAAAGGTATATTTTGGCAGCCCATTTAATAACTCATTGAAGAGTCCATGCCCATTTAACAGCATACCAAACTCACCTACTATATTTTAAATTTGGTAACTGATTTGACAGCCCATTGGAATTACTCTTGCACCAAATAGCTTTCTAAGAATTACGAGTTTCGGAGTTAAAACTCTAAATGCTGTGGAGAGTACTTCCAAACAGCAATCACAACTGGGCATTTAAAAGCACTTCTCGCACTAAATTTACCATCAATGGATAACCCCCAAACTTTCTCGTCTTCTCCTCCAAATTCCCTCAATGGTATTTTCAGAATATGCTCGATCTCTCCTATTAAACACCTTTGCAATAACATCCGCATACCATTGTTTTGTTGCATGATTTATGAGAACAGCAACTTTTGAGATCGGAGAATTTTGGATCGGAACGCCAAGGGTCCTGCCAACAATTAATTTTTGTTCCATCCACCACTCTCCACTTCCATGATTGCCTAAATAAGTCTTTTGCCGCCCAAATACCTTTCCACACCCAGGAAGTCGACTTTTTGCACAACCAATTCAACAAAGAGCTATCTCAGACATTCATTTAGGGCATCAAGCATTAAAAATAATAAAATAATAATAAAAAGAGTAAAGGGCACAAAACTCTATTGTTACGTACAAAATGTGCAACTATCTAGTACCTATAATAATGTTGCAGATTTTTCAAATTAGCGAACAAAGCAATTTTTTTTAGACATAAATATTTTAACTACCTTTCATATAAAATAAAATTAAAAAATACTTATTAATAAAATAAAAAAACACTTATTTGAGTTTTTAATGGCAATTTGGAATTTTTATTAAAAAAAAAAATTAATCAACATTGACCATCAACATATATTAGCGGATAATTTGTATATATTTTTAAATATTAGAGATTTATATACATACTAAATATGAGGGTTGTCTTTTTTGCATATTTTTTAAATAAATTTTTTTTTTATAAAAAAAATATCTTAATAAATAAATAAATAATAGAAAAATTAAAGAATTAAGTCATTGTGAATAAGGTGCATTAATTAGACATAGAAGCTAAATGTCCAGAGCTATATCTATTTATCGGAAACACACAAGGGTTACTTGTGAGACTTCATTTCTTTGTGTGTGGTTAAAAGGCTATTTACCCCAGGGTCAGTATATACGTATAGATTATAGATATAGCCCCTCTACATATTGATTTAAATAAATAAATTCTTTAGTAATCAGAATAATCAGAGCCAATCATCATCAACTTTACATTGAAAACCCCAAACAATCATCCCAATCCCCAATGAAACTATAATCACATGCGCTCAATGGCGCGTGGAACTACAACAACAAGTCTCAATATTTGCAAAAAAAGTTGATTTGACGCATACGTCCTGCACGTGTATTGTGCCACCACGCCATGATTGCTTGCATTAAAATTGATGGATAGGGCTCTGAAGCTGCGGCAGAGACTAATGAGAGAGAGAGAGAGTCGGCTTAGTTTAGAGAGAGAAAGTGATTTATTATGGAGGGCGATTGGAATCATCACGAGCAACACATCGTTCCGAATTAAAATAAAAAATAAAAAATAAAAATAAAAATCTCTCTTAGTCGGTATAACAGAAAGAAAAAAAATACAAATTAAAAAAACGAAAAGAAAAATAACCTTCTGCCTATTTTCACGCAAATCCAAAAATTAAAACAGAAGACATACGATGTTAGTAACACCCCCTTATTCAAAAATCCTAGGAACCTATATTATGGAGCGAAGTCCTAATTTCAAAGCCCTAAGGATTTATACTACTGATTGAAGTCCTAATTTTATGTACAAATTTCTAATTATGTTCTTTAATCTTGTAAATTATATGCTATTTGTTTCCTTCTTTTCTCTATTACCGAAATCTTAAATTGAAATACATAACAGATTATGAATTAGTGAATCATTACTTAAGTTCTAAACACAAAACCTAGCACTTCATAAATAGTTGCTTCTTGACTTATTATTGATTGTTAATAAAGTATATATTAGTTCGGGAGGTTTTGACTTATTGTTGATTGTTTCGGTGATTATATATTTCTTTTAAATTGTATAATTTTATAAATTTTACTTTGTGAATTTAGAAATATGGAATGTTTTGATAAATGTTGTGAATTTAGAAATATGGAATGTTTTGATAAATGGATTCAATGATCATATACTAATTTTTAGTTGACAGAGGACTGTGTAGAGGATGGGAGTTTCTTGATTGCATTTTCTCTAATAATTGGTCATTTCATTATTGTCTTGATAAATCTAATGCTGAGTTGCTTCTTTAGTTTGGCTGCATTGGTTATTAATTGCCTATGGATGGCATGAATTCCATCCATTTGGATTATTTTTCTTGGAGTGATTTGTAAGAGAGTTCTCTCTCCCACGCTAATTGTAGAGGCATATTAGTTTCCCAGTATGTGAGGAAAGAGGAAGCAAACAATCTTTTGTTTCTTTTTTTATTTTATTTTTTTCCCATTTACTTATACTACCGGGTAAGGAAACTCTTTATATTTTTTAAAATATATTATTCCTTCCATCCCGAATTAAGTATCGCATTTGGTATTTGTGACTCACATTGTACCAAAGGCAACATTTATTTCAGAATGACGAAAGTGTGTGGCAAGCCACTTTTTGTGTTTTATATAATGTGAGTCACAAATATCAAAGGCAACATTTATTTCAGAATGAAAAAGTATGTGGCAAGCCACTTTTTGTGTTTTATATATAGCGTTCCCTATCACCCACTCCTTTTTTATTATTATTATTATTAGTATTATTATTATTAATACTACGTAGAAGTGTGGTGTTGGGTATTCAACTGTTAATTTAGTAATATTAGGGACAATGATCCAAATTTGTTTTTCAAAGTTCGATAAATAATGTCTAATAAATTTTTTTTAAGGGTAAAGTGTAAAAAACAATCTTTGTTATATAAAAAATGTGTAAAAAAATACTTCTATTATTTAATATATGGATAAATTCATAACATTAGAAAATATTTGTAAATTGTCTCATAATATCTATTGATTGTCAATTTTGACCATAATTTTATTAAACTCTCAAAATACCTTTAAAAAAAAATGAAATTATTTCAGGTATTTCAGTATTTAAATTAACAAAATATCATTATTTGCTTATTTGAAAGTTGTATGAGATTTTTTTTTTTTTTTTTTTTTTTTTTTTTTTTTTTAAATACGTCAGATATTTGCACATTCAATATATAATACTATTTTTTTGTTTTATTTTATTTTTACATTTTATCATTTTTTCAATAATAAATAAGAATAGTGCCTCCTCTTAGAACATTTATCTCACTAATTATTCTTGGTAATAAATTGATCGGAGAGAAATTATTGCATGCCCCGGAATTACATAGTTCCGACGAATCATAAGTTAAGTCATATAATTTTTTTAAATATGTGTTACTTTCACATTTCGTATACACTCTTGTTTCTGATTGATCGCACTATGTGTGACTTAGAATTTGACATTTTCTCACTTTCACTCTGATATTTGTTCCCGCTCCCACACTCATCCCGAGGGACTTAGATCACAACTCCACACATAATTTAATTCAAACTTTTACTTACTTGTTGAATTATAAATAGCTTGAATCATGTTGTCACCGACCATACAGTAGTTTCTCCATTTTATGTTTTGTGAGCCGGAATGATCTTCTATCTATGATATATTTACTTCAAAATACCACAATTAATGCACAAGGTATTACATTGAATATAGCTTATGTGACATATTCACTTTAAAATGTAAATACTAATATATTACATCAAAATATAGCATTATTAAAATGTAACATTACAACACACACTATTAATTACTCAGCATAGAACTACATTTTTTTATTACCATTAAATTAGTTGATTTAATAGCGTATATCTACACAAATATGTCCCAGCTAGCTGCTTTGATTACCAAAACAGACACACGGAACCTCCATGATTTTGGCAGCCTATCATGACACGTGTCATCTCAGGGTTAGACAGCACGACTCCCACTAGGCCATTTATTTATTACAAGAATAAAGAATAAAATTCTATCCTTCCTTTTTGTCTTTAGCCCACATAGAATGAATTTTATGTACTACTATACTCTACTGCTACTGGTGGTAGGATTTTTTATTAATGTATAATACTACTGTACTATATATATTTATTTAATAATTTATATTCCATTATATATACTAGTGTGTACTGTGTGAGATAGGTTAAGCAAAACTTGGCCTCCAAGTTGTGTCTGTCTGTAAAAGCTGAGTAAGGAAATGGAGAAAGCAGTGGTAAAAGATTCAAGGTTCAAGAGGGTGTGTGTGTTCTGTGGCAGCAGTTTTGGCAAGAGAAATTGCTACAAAGATGCGGCCATTGAGTTAGGCCAAGAGCTGGTATACATTATATATATATATATATGTATGTATATGTGTATGTATCTACATTTTTTTGAATTTCAATCTTTTATTTACATGAGTTTTAAGAGTTGTGCGTGTTTCTCTGTGCAAAGGTGTCAAGAAGGCTGGATCTTGTGTATGGAGGAGGGAGTATTGGGCTAATGGGTTTGGTTTCTCAAGCTGTTCATCATGGTGGAGGACATGTTCTTGGGTATATATATGTGTGTGTGTGTGTGTGTGTGTGTGTGTATATATATATATATATATATATGTAATGTTGAAATTTAAATTTGATTTTTTTTGGTCCACAGGATCATACCCAGAACTCTGATGTCTAAGGAGGTGCACAAATCTCTCTTGGGTTACTTTCGCTTTCTTCATATATATTTTGGGGTTTTGTATTTATAGTGCCATAGTGTGTGGACTTGGTGTTCTTCGGCTTCAAAAATGGGGTGGGTGTGTGTGTGTGTGGGTGGTTAATTTTGTGCTTTTTATGGAGTCACAGATTACTGGGGAAACTGTTGGTGAGGTAAAACCAGTAGCTGACATGCACCAGAGGAAAGCTGAGATGGCTCGCCACTCCGATTGTTTCATTGCCTTACCAGGTCCCATCCCCTGTATATTCACACACACACACACACACTTCAGATTAAGGTCTTAGCTAGCTCAATGGACTTCTGTTTCTCTCTCTACTTGATAATTGCACAGGTGGGTATGGAACTCTGGAGGAGTTATTGGAAGTCATTGCTTGGGCTCAACTGGGTATTCATGACAAGCCTGTAAGCACACACACACACACACATATATATAAATATACACACACTCACACACACACATACTGATATAAAGATGGAGACTCAAATCAATCATACCCATTTATAAAAGTACTATTAGTGATATAATGCGTTTTTTTCTGAAATTTGGCAGGTGGGTTTGCTTAATGTTGATGGTTACTACAACAACCTTCTCACTTTCATTGATAAAGCTGTAGATGATGGGTTCATCAAGCCCTCTCAGCGTCACATCTTCGTCTCTGCCCCAAACGCCAAAGAACTTGTTCAAAAACTTGAGGTGGGTGTTTCTTCATTTTCAATTTTCTTTTCATTTCTAGGGGGAAATTAAATGTGAAATTTAAATTTCAAAAATTTGATGTGGGTGTTTCTAGATTTTCAATTTCATTTCCCTTTCTTTTTTTCAAAAATTCAAGTTAATTTATTTCAACAATTTGTACATTTGACTTTTTTTGTAAGAAGAAAGAATCTTCACAGATTACCATACATACCAGTGTCTTCATCATTTTTCTTTATTGATTTGTGAGTGTTTGTTTGTTTGTTTGTTTGTATATACATACATACATACATATATATATATACACACACACATATGATGTTCATTTGTATATACTTTGATTAATAGGAGTACGTGCCTGTGCGTGAAGGAGTGATTGCAAAGGTAAAGTGGGAGGTTGAGCAACAACAACCACAGCAACAGGTGGTGGGCTTCAATGCTTTGCAACAGACTGCAGAGATTGCTCTGTAAAGACCAGAGACAAAGACAAACATATATATATATATATATATGAAAAAAAGACAAGAAAAAGTGTTTTTGGGCTGATCCTCTCTCTCTCTCTCTCTCTCTCTATATATATATATATATGTTTGTGATTTTTGGGTAGTATGCATTGTGATGGTCCTGGCCATACACTGACCAGAAACACTAGAATGGTATGGTAGACATGAAAGGCCAGGACAGAAAGAAAGAACAAACATGAAATGAAATGTGTTTTGGTTATATATATATATATGTGTATGTATTTTGTAACTGCAAAAAGTGCTTTAATCTGCATGTATATCTGAGACTTCGGAATATATCTATATATGCTAATTGCTTAATTATGGTATTTGTGTGTGTGTGTGTATATATATATGGTGCATATATATATATATATATATATCTTATTGTATGTGTGATTTGTGATGATAAATAGAAAGAGAACAAAGGGTAAAGAACAAAAAGTTTGGGGCAGCTTTGTTCTGTGATCTGTTCTCTGTTCTCTGTTCTGATCTGATCTATGTGATGTATATAATGCTCGTAGAGCAATGAGCATGCCTTGTGTCTGCCTGGACTGGACTGGACTGGCTTACTATTGTCTTAAGGTAATGTTATGGTGTATGATGGTTCATGTGTTTGCATCACATCTGGCCCTTGAAATAGTTAGATGTGGGTCAAATGCACTTTTAACTCCTCTTTCCTTTCCTTTCCTTTCCTTCTGAATATATATGTGTGAGAGAGAGAGAAAAGAGAATTGGGTGGCTATTGGCTATATAACCTGTAGAGGTCAAGTTTGGTTATGAACTTTGGACTTGCTGGGTAGAAGTTAGACTGTACTAGGGCTCATTTACTGGGATGGGTGTTTTTTTACTGTTGCTGGGGGCTGTTTGTTTTGACTTTTTTTCACCCCTGGAGGGAGAGAGGGAGAAAGAGAGACTGAAATGATGGCCCCGAAAGCGAAAATGAAGTGACCAATCATGGCGGACCTAACGAACCACCAAAAGCAGCTTTAGTGAATTGGCCGCACCCGCCTAGTCCCCCCCCCCCCCTCTCTCTCTCTCTCTCTCTCTCTCTCTCTCTACATAAACACTATAATGTTTGTACATACACACTATAATGTTTGTATATCTGAGTTTTTGAAAATGGGTTTTAAAAATTAATGGGTTTTAAAAATTAAACCAAGTCCTAAATTCTCGTAATTTTTATATTAATAGATAATAAGTGAATGTTGAAAGCCCGTGTGTGATTTAATTTGAAGGCAAGTGGAACAAAACATGTTTAAAGTTCTTTTTAATGTTTCATTTGTTTGAATGTAAAATATTTTTTTTAAAAAATGTTTTTTTAAAAAAGTAAAATATTTTTTTATTTTTACTCTGTCGGTATTTAATAAAGGTTTACTTCAGGGTTGATGTCAAGTCTATTGGGTGGGACATATAAAATGACTTGTCGAAAATTGATAGGTAAATTATTTTTGTTAAATTTTAATATTTTTTTTCTTCGTAAATATTTTTCAACAACCAAACACAAAAAAAATTAAAAAGAATATTTTACGTCCAAATAAACGACGAAACATTAATATAAAAAATTCCTTTGATAAAAGTATTACATTATTACTATTATTATTATTATTATTATTATTAACTGATTGATAATATAAATCCACCACTAATTAAGAGCTTTTGAAACATAATGAAAAAAATGGACAGGTTTATTCTCTTCTCTTTCCTTCCATTGATCCTTTTTTTTTTGGTCAGAAAATCGAAGCAACAGATAATTTCGAAAAGGGAGATTGTTCTCTTTTACAACTACATTGATCCCCCTTTTTTTTTTTTTTTTTCGCGCTTCCATTGACCCTTTTACCACTACATTGATCAGACAAGGGAGATTGTTCTCTTTTTACCCTTTCCGTCCTTTTTCTCTCCTCCATATTCCTTCTCCTAATTTTGAAGAACACCGGATAATGGTACTTGCTCAAATCAAAATTAAAGTGCGTAAAGTGACAAGTTTTGGTTTACTTAGAAACTTTTGGACGTGGTCCAGCCTTAGTTTGCTACAAGTAACTATGGCCTAGTGCTTAATTGATGGATACCAAGATATAGATTTGAGGAACATGAAAAGAAAGATGCAGATTCCATCTCTATCTAGATGGCCCTCAAATCCTCAATGTCAACTCTTTCAGGCCCAAAACCCCTCATCCTCACATCCTAAAAATTTCTCATAGGACAAAAAGAAAAAAGAACGAGAATAAAACAGTTCCATGGAATCTTTCCATCCGTTGTTGTCGTTGCAATTCAAATAAATAAAATCTAATAAGAACTCTTTATTAGTAGAGCATAAGGGTAGATTCTTACAATTTTTTAAGTGTTTCACTATGTCACAATATTCTTTAAATTTTTTCCATATTTTGACATTTGTATTATTTTCCTATCCTAGTGTTTTACTGCGTTGCCAAGTTCTATGCCAAGAGGTAATTAATACCATAACCAGATGGTGCTTTAGAATTATTGAGAAAAAGATTACCTCAAATTTCAATTTTTTTTTTTTTTTTTTTTTTTTTTTTTTCAATTCAAATTTTAAGATACCAATTTCACGCTCCATATGCAACATTTCTTTTTTTCTAAGCAAACAACAACAAACACAGCACCCCAATTACAAAGAACCAGCCAAGCAGTCCTGCCTAGCTTTCAAAAGCAACCTCCCTGGGATGCTAGTTATAATTTGATCCTCCTACAAAAAAGGTTTTGAAAGCCTTGCTTCATGAGCAAGGCCATTTGCTTTCCCAATAACATGAGCTATCTTTGCCTCCGGGAAACATCTCAAAGCGTTTTGGATATCAAAGATAATTGAAGAAATTTCAACCGGACAAACCCGAGCTACCAACACAGCCTCAAAAATCGTAGACGAATCCGTTTCAAAACATATCCTCTGAAAATGAAATCTCCTAGCCAGTAAAACGGCTGCCCTCTGTAGACACTAAAATTTTAGTGGTGTACACACAAACTTTGTAAACCGCAAATAAGAACAAAATTGGGAGCAATAGAATATTTTATTAATTTATAAAGATGGAGTACAATCCTCTGTAATAATATTCCAAAAAATAAGGTCCTCTGATTCGATCTCCTTTTTGGTTGGTTGGATCCAAGGGCTGCACGAGCTTAATCTTGAATCACCGTGAAATTTGGATAAAGAACGGCACGTTTTTGGCTGTGCTTGCTGTTGATCATCGTGGAATTTGGATGAAGAATGATACGATTTGATGTGCTTGTTGTTCTTCATCTTCAGAGAGGATTTGTTGAATTTGGTGAAGAATGGCACAACTTTGGATGTGCTTGGTGTTCTTCGCCTTCAGGTTTGCCCTCTAGATTTCTGATTCCCTCAATTTCTGGACCTTCTGGATTTCTGAGTCTCTGGATTTTTCGACTCTGAATTTGTGTCCCTTCTGGATTTCTGAGTCTTTAGATTTCTGGACTCTGAATTTGTGTCCCATTCCTCCTTCATCCAGGCCTCTATTTATAAGCTTCCTGGATTAATAGGATGATGACACGTGTCTTCTCCTGATAAGGAAAAAATCATAACTGGGCCGGTTATATTATGATAATTATCCTTAAAAATAATTATTCCAAATATATATTTTTAGGAATAATTATCTTTCCATTAATCATCTGGGATGGGCTAATTAAATAATTTAAGTAGACCAAACTTGGGCCAATTAAATAACTTAATTAAACATTGACCTATATTTAATGGATCAATTTGTCAAAATAAAAGTCCATTAAAATTTTCGTGTCTACAAATTGCCCCCACTTCGAGTCCCATGTTTGACAGAACTTGTCTCCTTTTTCAAGTGGGACTTGAAGTATCCAACTTGGTCTTTGAACTGTAAAAAGCTTTCCTATCCAACTTTGGATTATAAGATTTCCTTTTTCCCTTTTCTATTCAACTTTGGATTAGAATTTTACTTTCCTTTTTTTTTTTCTTTTTTTTTTTTTTTGGAACTGAATTATACAAATCCCAGTACAAATAGGAGATATTTTATTGCTTTCCTTTTTTTTTTTCCTCTTTTTTTTTTCACGGATTTTTTTTTTCTTTTTTCTTTCCTTGTGTTTTTTTTTTTCCTCTCTTTTTTTTTTTTTTTTTTTTTTCCCTCTTTTTCCTTTCTTTTTTTTCACGATTTTTTTTTTCCCTTCCTTTATTTATTTTTTGAAGGGCTTGATTGCGTATAACAACTTGATTTTGCCAGTTGTAGCAGAAATTGAAATCGTCCTTTTAGACAACACCGATCGAGCTTCAAATTTGTTTGTTGTTCCATCATGGTGGTATTCAAGTGTTTTATGAAGCAAAAGATGACTATCTTAGAGAGCAAAAATAGTCGAAGAAACCAAGGAACCACATTAAACGTATCCGACTCACTTCTCAGTCGCAATGCCATTCATATGTCTGATCTTGATAATGAACATTGTTCTTCTCATTGGACACGCAAGGCTACAGGCGACCTCACCAACTTTGGTCTTGATCAGATTAACGAAGAATCAATTGTCTCATCATGGAGTATTCTCTGTATACTTTCTGCTGAATTGCCACACACAGAACTATATTGGAAGTGGTTAGAAGATGTCTTGGCACGTTTCCATGACTTTCTATCAAAACAACTATATGGTGCTCTATTTGCCTCCCTATTTTCATATGATCACCATAAAGATGTATTCAAAGCATTCCTTGAATGTTGGTGCCCAGCCACTAATATTCTTCATAGTTCTATCGGCAAGCTAAATTTTTTCTTCAACGTTTCAGCAGAAAGCCAACTTCTTTTTCAGCAATACCTCGACGGCAAGCAAAATTTTTCTTCAATGACACCTCAACGGAAAGCCAAATTTCTCTTTCAGCAATACGTCGGCGGCGAGCAGAACGACACCTTAACGGAAAACCAAATTTCTCTTTCAACAATACATCGGCGGTGAGCAAATATATTTTAGCAATACCTTGACGGAAAGCCAAAATTTTCTTTTAGCAACACCTCGACGGCGAGCAAAACTTTTTATTTCAACGACACTTCAGTGGTGAGTCAAAATTTTGTTGCAACAACACCTTGGTGATGAACCAGATTATTTAGCGACGCCTTGGCGGCAAACAAAATTTCTCTTTCAACAATACCTCGGCGATGAGCAAAAATTTTCGAGGCAGCTACAGTCTAGCAATGAACCAATTTATTTCTTCCTAGCTACACTTTGCCGGATCAAAATTTCTTT